TGATGACATTTTAGTGAAAGGATTTTTATGAAAAACATGATTAATGTGCACAAATAAGTAGTAGTTGTATTAACCATACATGGAAACTGAGTTCTATGGGGCCCCCAGGAACTTGGGTCCCTAGGCAACTGCCTAGTGTTGCCTAATGGTAAAATGTAAAATTCACATCATACTCACACTGGATCGGTATTTGATCAAATATAAATTTTGTTTTCTATAAATGAGGGTGATTGTTAGAAATGAAACCAAGTGAATTTCAATCCTTTTTAAAAGAAACAGAAACAACAACAACATAAATAAAATGCAATGATATAATGGAGCAGTCTGTAAATGCAGCTGGTAGTTAATGAATCCTAAAACAAACCCTCTTCTGTTAGGAGTAAAAAGCTGTCTTTCGGTTAGATAAGCTTAAACCTTTAGTTCTATTCAAATTAAATGTGTCTAGACAAGCACTCCTACTGTTGGTGCAATCAGAGAGAAAGAATGTCAGGATTTATAAGCACACATTTCAAAATATAACATCGAAGAACATCTAATGCTCATGTGCTCACACATACGCAGAAATTTTTACCCGCGAGCGAATCTATGCAATCTATTATTAACATGTTTCCTTCTAGACAAAGATACTGGTGGGGAATAAAAAATAGAAAAAGAAAAGAAAGATAGAGAGAGAGAAGGTTAAATTATTAAATTTGGGATGTTCTCTTTGAAACAAAAAAAGTCAGGTGGAGAGGAGAAAAATCTACTGTTTCATGAAGTGACGAAAAAATTTGAAGGTGAAAGTAGGTTATAAAAAAGGAGACAATGAGAAAGAGAAGGTGTGGCATCAAAGAAAAAAAGTTTAACAAAGTCAGCGACACACTAGGGTAGAGTCACACGACATTGGAGAGAAGCTCACATCAGAGAACATCACACCCCCGCCATCTAAACTCAGAGAGTGAGACACATGAAGAGGAAGCAAAATACAAAGGTGAACCAGATGGAAGAGGGAACGGTGACATAGACAGGAGTAGGGGAACAAACACCAGAAAGCAAAATGGAAAAAATGCAAATCCACTGACATCCATTATACAGTAAAGAAGAGGTTATTTTTCTTTCTTAATTGGAATAATAACAAACAGTCATAGAAGGGCAGCGGCGAGACTCATGTTATTTACTGGAAGGGTCTGCATTATCAATGGGATCCAAATAAATCACATTTAAATCATACATATTGTTTTGGTAATAAAAAACAGGAGTTTTTTTGTGGTCTACATCAAAGCTTCCCAGACACAAAGCAGACACACAGAGGTCGCAATAACAGAGTAAAAGTAAAGCAGCGATTACAAGGAAAGAGCAATTTACAGCAGTTTCAGGTTTACAACGAAAGAGTCCTTTAAAAGTCAACATCCTTCCATCTCCAGCTCAGTTAAGCTCAACTTATTCCGATCTACAAATCATAGCATCTAAATAAGTGGTACTCCTAACTGTCAATCCTTCTGGTGATATTTTTACGTGAGGTCATCCTATGTGCTCGTCCCGTTAGCTATCTTTTTCTGTGTTCTTTTCAAATCATATTTTAGGAGAGTAATAATTGGGTGTAAACATTCTTAAAGAATTCATTTGAAATTTTTTGTGAAATTTTATTGGCAAAAATGTATTTGGTCTCCCACAAACTACTCTGTCCTCCGCTTGTTAACGGTATTAATGGCTTCTGTTTGAAAGCATCATCTGCATCAAAGACACATGTCCACAGCCTCAAATATTAGCATAAATACCAGGTTTATGGGTGTTTCTCAAACATTGGTCGACCTGCTAACAATCGGCATATCGCTCCCTTTACACTGGAGAAAAAGCTAGGTCGGAAGCCTCGCTTGACGCTGCATGGTCTCTGTGCCCCCGCCGCTGCATGTCTGGTGATGCCATCACGCTGGGTTAGCGTTGATGATGTCGACAGTGAGACAGAAATAAGGAAAGTAATAAATGAGGAGCAACATGTAGATCAGCGTTCAATGGTGTCACGTTAATTAGCGGCGTTCCCACAGTATGCCAATCAGAGCAGAGGCGATATTAATGCGGGCCGCTTCCCGAGTCGTTTGACCCGGGTCCACCCCTTTGGAATGGGGATCATTTGGCTTCCTTTGTAAGTCTGCAATAATGCCCCATACCTGTCTATGTCTCTGAAAGGGGGGTCATTAAAGGGAATTGTTGGCCTAGATAATTAGGTGAGGTGTTCTGTTCCCCTGTTAAGTCGAATTGAAAAAGCCTCCAGGATGGGAAGTACATGTTAACGTTAGCGCCTATTTGTTTACGCTAGTAACTGCTAGCTAGGAATTCACAGGCTAAGTTACTGAGTGACTGAGAGTACGGTGTGATAATGTAATGTTAGTATTGCAGTGTTTCCCGCAGCACTATCTTGGTGAGGCGGCCGCCTCGCCAAACTCACGCTACCGCCTTGCCAACATCCAAAAAAAACCCCCAAAAACTGAAGATTTAATTCATTGCCAGGCCCAGACCTTAAAACAGCATTGATAACTCTACGGCTGATAATACAGAATTGCGACACCCTCTGGTTGGTTATATTACTACGCCATGGCAGAGGAGTAATTTTCTTTGATCATCCAAGGAGACGTGGGGGTGGGATGGGGGTGGGGGGGACGTGTTCGTCGTCTTTATCATCGGTGAACTGGAAAGGTAAGTAGTTAATTAAAAGTGATAATAGAAAATAAATATCTGCCTCGTGTGCTCTGACAAATTAAGATAGGATTTAGTTTTATGTATTCATTTCAACCCCCCCCCCCGGCAGTCATCCGCGCAAAACTGGTTCCGTAAAGTGCTGGAAAAAGTCTTAAAATGGATCTTGAAAGTGCTTGAAAAGTGCTTGATTTTGACTTTGGAAAAGGTGTACGAACCCTGAATCTTGGTTCGAAGTGGTGGCCTGTTGTACAGTTAGGCAAAAAAGTATTCAGTCAGCCACGAATTGTACAAGTTCTAGTACAGTAGAGGTAGCCTAGTAACCAAAGGTGTAGTGGGCTACTTCAGTTGGCTTACTTAAAAAGTCTATGACTTACTCTTCATGTGACTCAAGAGCGCAGACTCGCCCATTGTGAAAAGCTGCACATCTTTTTTGCAGACTTTACAAGAGGCAACTTGTGGGGTTTGTCCCCGTTTAATCCATAATTTGTATTTTTCATCTTCCAGCCAACGTTCATTGAAACGACAACCTCCCGGCATGGTGCAGTAGTGGTTTCAGGGGGCGGAGTCACACATGGAAATAGACTGGCAGATCGCAGTCACACATAAGTGAGCAGGTTTCATTTTCGGGCTCTCCAACATTTTATTTCTCCATTTAATAAACACACGATTCAGAAATAGTTACAATTTCAAGCATTTTCAGACATTTAATCCAAAATATAAGCACTTTTCAAACTTTGAAAACACAATGTCAAAATTCAAGCATTTTCAAGGATTTCCAGCACCCGTACAAACCCTGAAGATTGGCACCAATGTTTACATTTCAACAAATAAAAACACACACAATCAAAGCCAATGCACAGCCCTTAACACCCAGAAATGCTCATATATATGTATAGAAGTAGAATAGACAGGTAGAGAGGATATCTTGGGCCACGCAGCTGCTCCACCATTTATCTCAATTTCACCCTCCAGACGTGAGCGTTCAAACTTACATGGGCACATTACATTAGTATCAAACTAAGGCAGAACAAGATGGACGTAAACAAAGCACCCACACAGGCCAAAACAAACCAACACACACATTCTCATCTTGCTATATATAGTGAGGGCCACGTCCCATTGACTAAGATACTAGCTAGACCATCGCCTGGATAATTACTGATAATAATGACTTGTTAGACTTACAGTAGTAGCCATTCAAAATTTCCTCACTTTCCTCGTTGGGCCCTTGGCTGGTCTTTAGCTGATCCCCTACAATTCCTTTTTAAACATCAATCTTTATACTAAAATATTATTTCTGTCATGATTTGTAGTCATTAAGATTTAAAGAGGAGCGTCATTTCTTGGTCAGACCCTGTAATTCAGTGAAAGGATGGATTTGGAGTAAAAATATGGAAGCCCAGGAGAAGGCCAGTGGCTGGATGTTGGAGGGGATTTTCCTGCCATTCGGCTGGCTTTTGACTTGAAAGGGCCATTTTGAATGGCTGTCACTGTACAGTGGTAATCCACAAAAAGACAAAAAAAAAAAAAAATACTACATATTATGTGGTTCCTAATTCCATCTTGTTCTTTGGTCTTCCGCAACACTGTGATAAACTATTCAGTGTAAGCCAAAACCTTTCCAGCTTAAACAGACTCTAAACTGTAGTTCTTGTATTAAAAAATAGCTTTTAGTTGTAATTGTTTTTAAATATTCTTAACTGACAAAACAAAATGGTAAATTATTTGGATAACTTCCTGACATCACTGACTCTGATTTTATAAAAGGAATGTTGTACATCCTAGATTATTACCTCCCTACTCAAACATATATCATTCTAACAGCAGCAAAATATTAAATCGCTCCTTTTCCCAATTAAATAGAAGCAATTATAAAAATTTTACTGAATAGTGGGAGCATTATCTGGTTTATTTGTCAATTAGCAAGTATCTTCTTTGATTACTTTCTGTTTAACAATTATATTCAAATTCATACTAGTAGTATATTCAGAGCTTGTAAACTATTTAGGGTTAGTTTAATCAACTATATAAGCTCATTACAAGACCAAAAACTTATTTTCTTCTGTTTATAACTCTGAGCAACTATGACCTTTACAAGAAAAAAGATCGTTTTAGCTTAGAGACAAATAAGGTCTAAAATGATTTTCATCTAATCAATGTATCTGGTAAATGTGATAAAAAAATGACACAAAGGGAGACTTTGCTTAGAAAGAAAGCAACCTCGTCCTAATAATCATTAATTCTTTGTTCTTGTTTCATATATAGCACAAAAACAAAACAACTATACCAAATGCTAATTCTACAGCTACTGAGGTCAACGTTACCATGGTGAGGAGGTATGCTGCTGGCCGGCCAGGTGGAGGGTCTTGGGCCGGGCAGTCGAGCAGCTGCCTGTATTAGACGGCCGCTCCCAGTATGGGTCACTGTGAAACACACACAAAGATAAAGCGTGGAAAAGTTCTTAAACAACAGCCTTGGAAAACAGAACCAGGAAATAGGGAAAGTTGGGGAAAAAAAAAGAAATTAAACAAAAAATTAGCATCATCTTAAAAAGGGAAACTGAATACAAAAATCCAAAAGACAACAAAAGAGTTTACTACAACATACAGGTACCACATTCAGGAACATATTGGATATTTAGGCGAAAGTTGAACAATTTGATGTTGCCATGTGTGAAATTTATAAAACGTGGGCATTTTTAGCTCAATGGGGGGAAAAAAGTCACCTACTGTAATAATTCTGATAAATACAAACCTCCAATGAAAAGATATACATTTATAAAACCATAAACCTTCTAGGCAGAAAAGGGGGATTTTCAGAGACAAAATACAGTCCAACACTATCAAGTCTATGCAAAAAAGGGGTTTTCAGAGACAAAATACTAGTGTTGTGCCGATGCCATTTTTTGGCCCCGATACTGATACCTGGCTGTGCAGTATTGGCCGATACCGATACCATCAATTGATGTGTATGTGTATATATGAAGAACTGCATACTATTTGGATGTAAAATCATTGCCATCATGGCTTTGTCAAGCTGCTGTCTACCTTTGTTAAGAAGGAAAAGGACTAATACAAAGTGAATCCATTAAAACTTTTTATTGCCTACCTGGAATGGGTTACATTCAGCCCAGTAAACAGCATTGAGAACACAGAGGTCATGTCCTTGGTATTTTCCCTTTTTTTTTTTTATTCTTTTTTTTTTTATTCAGAGAAATGTCAAACTATATGATGAAAATTGTTCTGACTTTGATTGGTGGAAAGATCAGCATGCATTCTCATTTGTTAGAAAAAAAAATAAGTTCACAATAGGGTGACCAGACTTCCTCTTTTTCCCTGACATTTCCTACTTTCCATACCTAAAAAAATTTCTGGGGGGAATTTCAAAATCGTCCGGGATTTTGGTTGAATACAGTGAAGCACGTATTCGAAAAACACTGGGCACCTGAACCAAGCTGTCAGCACCGGGGCTGGAACCCCGGTGGATGGGGGCTGGGAGCCAGCGGAGGTAACAGAGGTTGGGTTCAGCATTTTGATTCTGTGTTTTTTTTTCCTCTTTTGCGCTGCTCCCATGTCCCGCATCTCGGCTTGACATCATCAAATCTGTCCCTTTGAGACATCTGATCTGCAGTCGCATTTCACTGCTTAGAGAGTAGCTATGTGGTTGGAGGAGAGACACACAGCAGCACTCAGTGAATATTAATCAGCAGCTACTTCAATAGTAAATTTATATAGTAGTTATTATTATATATATATAGTAATTATTAGATAGTAAAATTGCTTATGTAAAATTTAGGAGATGGGTTGGTTAGAAAAATTAGAGATGCCACAGAAAAATCAGTTCGTTAGACATACGGAGCTGTTTCAGCTAAAAATGGCAACAGATTGTAAGTTTATACAAGTTAGTATTATAATGCCAGAAGCTTGAGAAAACAGTTTGTTCTTCTTTACTAGTTAAAAAATCTTGACTTCCCAGAGGTCCATGACTCCCAGTTACAGGTTAAAATTAACATGTTTTCTTATTGAAGAGACAGAATCAGACTGCAGAGCTTCTACATATCTTAAAATTTTGTTTCTAGCATCATCATATTAGTAAATAGGTTAATAAAATATCGATTTTGGTACTGGAATCGGCTCTTTTTCAAATGTTTATTTTTTAAGCATTGATGTTTTTGGGCCCTATATTTATAATGCACTAAAAAACATCTCTCTAACTACCTATAAATGTAAATATCAGTATATTATGGTTGTCTTGTGTTCTCAAAAATAGGAAAGCATTCAATAAATAGATGTTTGAGCTAACTTTTGGAAAATTAGCCTAATGAAAGTGTAACAGTAGGTCCATGAGCCCCCACCCGAGTGTCCCCACCAACTTCAATCACAAAGTTACTCCTTTGAGGTGAAGGTAGCCTGGACACCAGCGGCCCCCATGCTTCCCCCCGCCTGCTGACTCCCTGCTCCCGTATGCCGTAGTACCAGCACCAGCCCCCGGAGCTGACAGCTCGGTTCAGGAAAAAAAATGTCCTCCTTTTCAGAAACCCAAATCTGGTCACCCTATTGTGATATATTATTGCAAGTCATTTGATTCATTTAGAGGGCCATGCACATGCATGGTGACGATGGTGGCAATAATAATAGTGGTAATAATAATTCAATATTAACAACAACAATAATAATATAGTATAATGATGATGATAAAAATAACACTCACTCCCTCACATTCATTCTCACACTCATACTCACTAACTCACTCAAATATTCTAATTTTGTGAGTTTTGGAATTGTTATAATAAACATCTTAATAATCACCTCCTTGATGGGCTCCGATTTAACTCTCTTTATTCACGTTTCCAAAATATATTTTAAAAAGTGACCATATTAGGATGTTTTTTTGTCAAGTAAAATTTATCGCAAAGTTTGACCTCAGTATTTCAAAAATCCTGGTTACGGCCCTGTTGACAATAGTTATATAAACTTTTGTCTCTCAAAATGGTATCAGTGCCCTATTTGTCCGTACTCGCCGATACCACCATTTTAGTGCTGGATCGGGGCCCAGACCGATACTGGTATCGGTATCGATGCACCACCACAAAATAAAGTCCAATTTCTGAAAACACTAGTTAGTCCATAGCAACATTAGCAAGTCTATGCAAAAAAGAAAAAAAAAAGAAAGAGATGTCAAAGCTGCAAAAGCAGCCCAGCATGTTAAACATATATACAGAGCTGTACTTAACAAAATTTCTTTTTGTTTACACTTGTGTTTACAAAATGACAAAATCTAATCTAAGTCTGTCTCTAAGTCTAAGCTTGTTAAACCAAGCAGTGAAGGTAACATGTTAGTAAGCAACAGCATTCCCTAATTTCAGTGATTTTAGGTTGGTAAAAATGAAATCTCTAAAAAAGGAGAATAAAATTGCCTGGTGGATTTCAGGACATACCTGCCAGCTGAGTAAAGGGCTCCTGCTTTCTAAAATATTCAGCATAGAAATAAAAAGCTCTAGCTTAGCTGCTTTATTTCTAGACTTATGTATTTATAGTAAAGCTAAATAGTGCCGAGTGGGATTTAAGAGGAAGGCAAAGCGACAGAGTCAAACACAAAGCCACCCCAGAGTGACAGTCCCTGCTGGAAGAAATATTCAAATTTTACACACCCACCAAAGACAGGCTGTCAAAACTCATGTGGATGTGGATTTTTTTTTTTTTTTTTTTTTTAAGACTGAAAGAAGGAGCACAGGAAAAATCAATTGGATAAAAGACAAGGAAGAATGAGAGATTGAGGCAGAATAAGTGAGGCTGGGAGAGTAACGGAAAAAGAAGAAAGACTGAAGCAATGCCGGCTTTCAGGAAAACATTTACTGAACTGTGTAGCACAGCATGAAACCACTGACATTGGCGTTCTTGTTTTGTGGACTAGTATTACTGTAAAACAGTTTTCTGAAGCAAGCTTCCCACTTTTGTTCTTGTCAAAGGTTGAAGTGAGGGCTGTGCCAGCATAACCCTTTTTAGTTTACAGCTTAAAGAGAAAACATAAAGGACCGATTTTCAAATGAAATGACACAGACGTATGTCCAGAGATCTCTTGATGCCTGACAAGGGAGCGCATCTATTCAGGAGAATGAAAAACTGTAAAAAAAAAAAAAAGAAAAAAAAGAGAAAATTCAATTCTCCCTGAGAATTGATTACACAAGAACCTTAATGAGGTTTTCAGAAAGAGACTCACTTAAGAGCAAAACAGTTAATATCTGACAGGAAGCAGCAATAATTTGAGCTGCAAGCAATCCCACTTATCATTGCAGGGAAAAGATATAGTAGACATTAGGGGTGTAAATAATAATCGTTTTGTATCGATGCATCAATCCAACAGCTGACGATCCGATGCATCGACACATCCGCGATAACAGATTCATGTTTTTTTTTCCTCAGGTCTATTTTTATCCATTTGCTCCTGGACGTAATTCTCCCTCCCGTGCTGCGGTGGCGCTAAACTTATTTTGCCCTCCTACCTCGCTTCCTGGTTATACTCTTACAGCAGTGTGTCGCAGTGAGCTTGACACAGACATTTTTAAGTTATGCTCAATATTGAAGCGTGGTAGATACGGCCGAGGCGGCGAGGAAGTGGGGGCGAGTTTAGTCCGACGACGGAGGGACGTGAGGGCCAAAAAGAGCGGAGATCCAGGTGGAAAAAGGGTCCCAGCGTTCTCGTGCACCTCGCTCTTCTAGCGGGTCAAACTTCACGAGTTGTTTTCCGCAATTTCGGTCATAAAAACAAAACAAGCCGGCCTCCTGTCTGCGGCACTGTTTGCGGTCAGCTACAATTCGGGAGAGGAGCAGCGGAGCGTCTCTCAAGGGGGCGGGGACGTCTGGAGCCGAGGTATTGCATTGCACTCATTGCACTGATTTTGTGCAGTATTGTTGCAGTATTTTTTGATGCAACTTTTCTACTTCTGTTATTTGCTGTTGTTTCTAAAAAAAATGCATAATGATATTACAGCTTTCATTGATTTATTTCAAACTTGAAACTTTGTTTAGCCTGTAAGGTCAAAAAAAAAAATTCATTGATTAATCGAATCAAACCGTGGTGTATTCTTGAGTATTGAAAATAATCGAATCGTTGGGTCAGGAAATCGATACTGAATCGAATCGCCATGATGGATGTGATTTACACCCCTAGTAGACATAGTGAACATACATTAAAATAAAAGTAATTACAGGTGCTGGTCATAAAATTAGAATATCATGAAAAAGTAGATTGATTTCAGTAATTCCATTTAAAAAGTGAAACTTGTATATTATATTCATACATTACATACAAACTCATATATTTCCGATGTTTATTTTGTTTAATTTTGATGATTACAAATGACAACAAATGAAAATCCCAAATTCATCATATCAGAAAATTAGAATATTACTGAAGACCAATA